TGAGTTTGCTGCAGGCCAGCAAACAGGTTTTGCTTTGTCTTTTTAATGCTTATTTTAATTGCACTGCTCATTTTCTGTAGCTTGTCTTCCATTTCAGCCCCACGCCCGTCCCCTTTTGCCCACGTCCTTCCAAAATTTGCCATCCTCTGCTCTGATGCCACCCGTCGCCCCTTCTCCTGCCCGTCTTCTCACCCACAGGCACCAAGTCGTTCAACATGATGTCCCCAACGGGCGACAACTCGGAGCTGCTAGCCGAAATCAAGGCTGGGAAGAGTTTGAAGCCCACCCCCCAAAGCAAGGGGCTCACCACTGTCTTCTCCGGCTGTGGTCAAGCGGGCACCCACGTAAGTGTGGATGGAAACGGACCCCTCTCCAGCGAGTCTGTCTGGATCTTTCTTCTGTGGGCCTGGAGTAGCTCTTCCCTCTAAAGCGGGACTCAATTGGCAGCGTTTCTCAAATGCACAGAAGCATCGTCACATTTATGGTTTAAGTAGAGTGCTAAGTGGCTGGATCGCAGCAGCCATTTTGTGAGGCCGCTCGCGGGGACGCTCCCAGAAAGGGCTCAGAAATGTTTGGTCCTCAGTGAGAGATTGAGTGACACAAACCTGCCTGTGCGCTCACTTTTTCTAGTGAATATCGGGCGTATCTACACACGGTCCCACTCAGATGACAAATGCAACCTGGGCGACTTGCACGTTCCCCGGCATTCTCCCACCACCGAGTTCCATTTTCCCCCGGGGCCCATCCAAATCCTGACCAGGGGAGGCCTGCTTAGCATCAGCAAGGATCAGTAGGGATGAAAGATAGAACTGGTTTCAGACAAACTCTGTCTTTTAATGACCCTCAACTTCTTTCTTCCATAGGTTGAGTTCCCTACATCTTCCTCGTCCCCCGCTGGGACGCCAACACCCCCATCTACTCCTGAGGAAGCCCCTGGACCCAGAGCTTCTGGCACACCCAAGCCGGAGATCAATGGTTCCTCACCCCCGTTTGGGACCCCAACCAGCCACATGGACCTGGAGGGCCTGATCCCCACGCATGATGAGCAGGGAAGGTCCATCCCTGAGTGGAAGCGGCAGGTGATGTTCCGCAAACTCCAGATGAAGATCCAGGAGGAGGAAGAGCAGAGACGCAAGGTAAAGGACTGGACGCGGGAAGGTTGATCAGCATGGTGTGCAGGTGTGCAGTGATCTTCCGTCTGATCCAACCTACCTGGAGTAAGGGGCCCTCACTCTGGAAGCCAAGGAAGGTGTCAACCTCCATCCCATCTTCAAAGGCAAGCAGGTTGTCCAGCAGGAGTGCATGGCGTTCAAGATGAGGACACCAGCTGGCTCAGTGGCCAGACCATTGGTTTCTCTAGCGCAGAGTTGTCTCCTTCTGCTATGCCTGGTTCTGTCCATACTTAGCTCTGGTTTAGCCTGTCCCTCTTTGCTTTTGGGAAGATTGGAGAATCATAGAATCCCAGATGGAAGGGTGAGAAGGGAGCTTGGAGATGCTCTAGTTCAACCCTCTCCCCAGGGGAGGGATGCCCCACCACAGCATCCTTGATGGATGACCAACAGCCTCTGTTTGAACACCTCCACCAACACCACCCCCTGTTCCATTATGGAGCAGTTCTTCCCATTAGGAAATGCTTCCCCATGTCCAACCAGAACCCACTTCGGGGCATTTAAATCCATTGTGTCCTCTCCTGTCTTCTGGAACGGCAACAGTTCTGCTTCATCTTCTCCATGACCGCCCTTCAGAGACTTGAAGACAGTTTTTGCATCTCCCTGCTAACTTCTCAGGGGGAACATAACCCCTCCCAACATAGTAAACCAAATGTCTCTGCTCCCCCATGATCATAAACTATGATGGCCATCAGCAAGCCAGCCACAAAGCATAGCTTCAGGTTGCAGGTGATAGCTTAAAATAAGCTAAGGATTTTTCAACCTTTTCACATCACACTAAGTTACATCATGTCAACCTTCCCAGGTAAACCAGACAGGAACCATGACCAGATGCGCTAATTCTACTTTACTGTAAGACTACAGTAACAGAATCTTACAAGTCTGAAAGGACAAATCTCCCACCGTCTCTTTTACAGCCCGAGAAACTAGGGAGGGTCTCTTCTGAGTCTCTTTCCCCTTCCATTATGCAGCTGTGGGCTACGCCCCCTCTTATCTGACCGTTCCCTAGGCAGCATCTCTTCACCCAGTTTCCCAAGGTCTTTCCCACATACCATTACACATCACCAGCAAGCCATAATTATGGCTTACCCTGACCTGTTCAAGCATCAATCCTTAGAGCAAACTGTGGATTAGCATAATGCAGGGGCATTGATGGGGAGGACAGGGTCAAAACAATCAAGACGGCAGCCAGGATTGTGTGATCAAACCCCTTTTATGCACATGGCAGCTGCTATCTTACTTTTTCATTCTCTGTCTTACAACACACACACACACACACCTGGCCTAATTTGTCAGTGAACTTCACCAACATCTCTCCAAGAACGTCCAACTGAAAGATGGTTCGCCAGCCTCGGAACCTAAGATTACTCATTTAATTTGGGACTTTTATGCAGTAAAAAGTAATTGATTCTAGATTAAATTAAGTAGGATCAATCCTAGTTAGTGAATGGGTGTTAGTAAGCAGTAGTAGAACCTTATATACCCACTGATGAGAATTCTACAAATCAACAGCAATGAAACAGAGTAATAGTTTATAGTAATACTAGTATAATATTACTAATAGTAGCATAGTTTATGCCTAGATTGTTAATGCAATGCAGTCTGTGTCTGATTTTACCAATACAGATAGTCCTCTACTTATGAACAGGCTACGTTCCAAGAGGTTGTTCGTAAGTCCATTTTGTTCGTAAGTCCAACCACGGCGTGCCACATAAGTATGCCTGGAAGCTTACGGCGTGCCATATACATATGCCTGGAAGTTTACAGCTGCACGCTGTAAACTTCCAGTCGTACATATGTAGAACACCATAAACTTCTGGGCATATGGATCCGGCGCACCATAAACATCCAGGTGTACATATGCTGCACACTGTAAACTTCCGGGACCTTCCTTCCAGGACCTTCATTGCTGGAGTTTTCGGTGGTTTGTTCGTATTGGCGAAAGTTTGTAACTCAAAAGTTCGTAAGTAGAGGATCGTCTGTAGTATAGTAAAATTTGGCCGCATTCATAGAAACTGAATCGCACTGGTGTAATAACAACTGCATAGGCTAAATCAGAATTTCCTGGGCACTTGGCAGGACACGGACTATGGATTCAGTGTGTCCTTCACAAGGGCACTCTCATAGCTCATACGCGATTTTTTTTTTCTATCTCCCCTTGAGAACCGCCGTAGAGAAGACATTGAAGGGTGCTTTTTGAAGTTTAGAGCTTATAAAGTCATTGTTGCTGTTGATGGGTGAAGGAAGAGACATTGCAAGATGTTTGGGCAAATCTGTTCAGTCTTTCAAAAAGCATGCCCAAAGTCTTGTTTCCTCTGCAAAGTCAGTCTGAAAATCCACTTGAACTGCGGGGTTCCTGGTGTTCTCTGAGCTTGGTTGCTTGCTTGCAGACGTTTCGTTACCCAACTAAGTAACATCATCAGCGCACCTGGCCAGGTAACAAACAACCAAGCTCAGAGAACGCCAGAGACCCTGCAATTCAACCCTGAGCTACAGATATTCTCTTCTATTGGAATCCACTTGAGGGACCAGCTAAGAGGTAATATTTACTTATGTGTTGGGATTCGAAGCCATCTGCTATAACAACACCACGTGCATGGGTTTGCATGACAGCGTGCACAGTGCAGGCGAGGCCCGTGGGACTGTAAACAGGGATTCCCAGCCAAAAGAGCTTTTGCAGACCTTCAAGGCAGTATTTAGAGAAGGTGGGGTCCTTCCTTCTAACTCGCCTCTAGTTTCCTTGTGGTGCATGGTGTGGCTGTGCGTGTTGACTTGGGGTGACCAGCTCTGAAGCACATTTAACCTGCAATATGGGCCAAGCGAGGGCTGGTTCTCTGCACAACAGTTGTTGTGGCGAAAATGTGCCGGCAGGTATTCGGCGACCCCAGAATCTTTCCTACCGGATTACTGATTCGATCCGTTTGTCTAAAACAATAAATCTGTTCGTTGAGAACTCTCTTCGACCCCTGGCTGTCCTCGGCTGCCAGATACTGCAGGAATTAAATGCCTTACATGATCGCTTCATGGTGTAATGTGTGAACACTTCCCGCAGCGTCTGCCACTGGGCCGTTAATGCTGTGGTGTCCTCGTGCAACTCTCTTGCATGTCCGTCACGCGAGCAGAAAAGTGTGGGTCTTTCTCTCCTAATATGGCCCCCCAACCACCTCGTCCTGGCAGGCGTGCCCCACCACACATCTTTGGCCACTGCTCTGTTCCCATTACACCACGAAGTAACATGTAAGGCAAAGGGTGTGCAGAACATGGATGATGTCGTGGCCCATCCTGAGGGACTCCTTTGCCCTCTGGGGTTTTCTTTTTGTCTTGCGTAGCTACGATCTGGGAATTGCTACCCCCAGGAAGGCTGGCGTTACTCCCACGCTCACAATGCCATTTTGGGACCTTTCGGGGAACTGATGACCGAGGACGACATCCTGCGGATCGAGAAGCAGATCCAGAACCTCCAAGTCGTGCACAAGGTGCAGAAGGTGGAGACCCAGCTGGAACAGCTGGAGCAAGAATTGCAGCAGCTATTGCCGGTCTCGGCTGCCTTAGCGAAGGAACACTTCACCGTCAACCCCAAGTGCATGCACGGCCGGGCGGAGGATCTCCCCGCTTGGTGCAACAAGATCTCCATTCTCTTGAAAAGCATGTCCATCCTTCTGGCCACGCTGGGGGGCAAAGCCACCAGTCTGGCTGAAATGGTGACCTCCGAAGCGCTGGCGCAGAAGAGCGAGGATGCACAGGCGGTCCCCTTGGCCGCGCCGACTTTCAAAGACGGCCCAGGCCCCATGGCCCGTTCTCAGTCCTTCAGCTGCACCCGGGAGGAGGTGGAGAAGGAGATCATGCAGTGGGGGGTGTCGGTGAAGAATCTGAAGGCCAACTATGAGGTCCATGTGAAGGCACAGCTGATCAGTGCGGCATCCAGCCGGGTATACAAAAGGAAGCGTTCCCTACCGGTGGGAACGGCCCAGTTCACTCTTGGTCGAGAGCCCATTTTGGAAGAAGACTACGTCATGGGCCTTGAGCCGTTCAGTATATTCGAAGATGAGGAGGGCTCCCCCGTTCAGCTCTCCCATGCCCCGCTTCTCTATGAGGAGGGGCCCAGCCCATTCTCCAGAGGGGACTCCTTTGCAGAAGCCATGTTCAGCCCTGACCACATGACTAGGAGCCTCCCGGTGCAGACCGAGCTGAGTTGCGTCCAAGACTACATCAACATGCGGAAGGAGCGAATTGTCTATCTCTTCCTGGAGCACTGGAAGAGGTGGACTTTCACCGACTCAGGCAGGCAGGTTCAGCCGAAGAGGGCGGAGATCCCGAGTCCTGGTTTGGAGGAAGGCCATGACGCATGCCACCGGTCTGTGTTGATAGCCCCAGGGCCAAAACCCAACGAGGACCACCAGCTTTTGTACTTCATGAAGCAACGTCAAGTGGTAGGAAAGCTGCTTGCCCACTGGAGAAGTATCATCAGCCAAGTGCCCACGAGGCAAATCCGTCGCTTGAGCCGCACCGACATATTCTACTGGCCTGAGCATTTCTTGCCCCATGTCAGTGGCTCCCTGGTGGAGTACGACAGCCTTACTTTGGACCTCTTCATGCTGGGCTACTTCCAGCTTCTGGAGATGGACATGAGCCGGGAGGAGCGCAAGTTTCGCCACCTGCTCTGCTATGAGATGTTTGACCATCTGGGCAGTCACAGCTGGGAGCTTATCCGCCAGTTTCACAAGGTGGTGATGGAAGAAGTGGAGGCTGGCAAGCGGGATTGGCTGGACGGCTTTGAGGACCTCAAGCAGAGGTTCTTCAGGGACAGCCTGCTGTTGGACCATGGGACTACACCCAGCGTGGATGTACCAGCAGAGACCCAGCACCCTTCCCCTTCTCTCTCCCATCAGGAATCTTCTCAGTCTTTGATTAGCAGCACCCAAGAGCCCAAGGCAGTTGCAGAAGAGCTGGCCGTTGTCCCAGCTCCAAAAAGTAGGAAGAACTCCATCCAGCTCATTTCAGAGCTTGGGGAATTCAGCAACGAAGACATTTGCTGCTACATAGACCGTAGCTTCTCGTTCTGGAAAGAGAAGGAGGGTGAGATGTTCAACATCTGAGGATGCAGCTTCCTGGATGGTTAGAGAAGATTCAGTCCATGGTCTTTGCAGAAGATGGCTTCTTACCCTCAAATATGGATTTGTTCAATCCAGGACCATTCCAGAAGGTGACATTGGTTACTCTCCCAAATAACCTTGGTAAGAAGGTGAGATGCTCTCAGCTAGGACTTTGGCTGGTCTTGGTAGACCAAGCGAATGGACCACTGTTGGGTTCCCTCAAGATCTTCTGTGGAAACCACCCGATTCTGAGGCCAACAAGGAACTCAGGTTTATACCACACTGCTATGGTTCTGAGGCATATACAGAGTTACAGTACCTTCCCTGAACTCCAACTTCATCCAGATGATGTCCTCCTAGCTTACAAAGTATCCTCAACAGCCAAACCCAGGCAGAACTGATTTGGGACCTTGGGGGAAGTGGCAGAAAGCGAACCCACTGCTACCCGACTTTGGGTAGAAGGATAAAAAATAGAGGCAATGGAAAGGTTGTACAGTATGAGGTCGCTTCGTGAGTTAGTGGCAGCCGACTAGAATTTGTGGGGTGCACAGTTTGGGGATCAAGGACCGCTGTAAGAAAGTTTGATGCAGATAAAGGCAGAGACAGAAGGGGGGGGGTTAAGTCCAAACCAGGCCCTCCATTGGCTTTATTTTTTTAAAACCATCTGTCAAATAACATCCTATTGGCTGGCTTCGTCCAACAGGCTCAGCCAGACCCGGGGTAGCCTAGCGTGTTGTACAGATTCATCACACGTGATTAATTTATAGTCCTTGGAGTGCACATAGCTACGGACAAGCGTCCACGGGGTACGAAAGCGACACCTTGTGCACCATGACGCCACAGGACATCAGTGCATCATCCACGCTGCTTGCACGACGACGTCATGCCACACGCAACATCGTTCAGAAGTGACTTTGTGGCGGCTGGGGTGGGCCCACCGTCGATAAGTTTTCCTCCTTGGTCTGTAAATGTAATTAATTTCAGAAACACTGATTCTGCTTCCCAGAAGGGCGGTGGGGTCCTAAAATAACCTACTTTGGGGTAATGGAAATGGGAAGAGGCCAGTTAACCTCTCTTTCCCCTTGCGTGTGATATGTTGGTGTGATCTCCTGTCGTGGCGGTGGTGCAATGGCTCCTTTTTGTGAGTGTGCTGTTATGCAAGCTTTCTGATGGTTGGCCTCTTATTTTCTTCTTTTTAATCTTCATTTATTACCAGAGGTGGGGAAGCAACTTCGTCTAAATTGGGGAGCCGGGTTCATTTTGGTGGAAAGTTGCATTTTTTCCTGATGCTCGTCTGAAGAAATAAAAGTCTGATGCGTGTAAAGGCTTTGGGCATCTTTTGTGATTGCAGAGAGAGACAGAGGGGGAGCAAAGAGCATCAAGATATTCTCATTTCTATGCTGCATGCTTGCCTGTGTTTTAAATATCTTCATCCTAGGGAGCCAAACCCTGCATAAAAAAGAATCCGAAAAGTCATTTGTTGGGGTGTGACTTCCAAAAACGCTCAAACAATACCGGTAAATTTCGGTGGCACCGTGTCTGAACCTGGGTGGCTTGAATTCTTGCCCTTTGGCAAGAAAACGCAGCGTTCTCAAAGTGAGGATTAGACAAATTTGGAGCAGGGTTTATAAAATTAACGTTCTGGGGTGAGCCTGGACAGCAGTCTCGGGTTGCACGTTTGCCACGGGCTGTTGCAGAACCGCAGAGTTCGCAGATCTTCTTCTTTAGGGATGAAAAGGGAATGATGTAAAAGAAGTGTACTTTTTTTTCTTATGCAACCTGAACCCCAATGATATTGTTAGTTTTATATCCGGGGGAGTTGCAGTGGGGGGGCATTGCACAGCAAAGTTTGAGAACGCCCCACCTTTGTGATTTTTTTTAAAAGCAAAAGGGAACTCCAACTTGCTTTAAAACAGTGTTTTTCAACCTTGGCAACTTCAAGATGCGTGGACTTCAACTCCCAGAATTCCCCAGCCAGTTGGCTGGCTGGGGAATTCTGGGAGTTGAAGTCCACCCAACTTAAAGTTCCTACCCAAATGATCCAAACTTGTGACTGATGGAAGTGGTGCAGGAGAACTGGGTTAAACCATGATGATGATGATGATGATGATGATGATGATGATGATGATGATGATGATGATGATGATGGAGAAGGAGGAGGAGAAGATGGAGGAGGAGAAGGAGAAGGAGAAGGAGTGTTGGAGAAGGAGGAGAAAGAAGGAGAAGGAGTGGTGGAAAAGGAGGAGAAGGAGAAGGAGAAGGAGAAGGAGTGGTGGAAAAAGAGAAGGAGAAGAAGGAGAAGGAGAAGGAGTGGTGGAAAAAGAAGGAGAAGGAGGAGTGGTGGAAAAGGAGAAGGAGTGGTGGACAAAGAGGAGAAAGAAGGAGAAGGAGAAAGAGAAGAAATCCACTGCAAGATCAACCATGCTGGTCCAATGAGGGTTGGTAAACAGATATTTTTTGACTTTCCATCTAGGGCTGAGAGAAGGAGACTGATCCATAGTCCCCCAGGGTGCTTCTGTGGACCTAGGTCTCCCCACTCCTAGTCCAGGACCTTCCCCATTATCCATCCTGGCTCTCATGCGTCTCATGTGATATGGTGGTGCACCTGATCAATTTGCTTTGAAACCTGGGTTAGCATTGACTAAGACAGCAACTCTCACTACTCCATTGCTACGATAGGAATTGGCTCTTCCGGTCAATTCTCGTGGTTTGAGGGTTCCGCCTTCGTGAATTCGCCTCCTCGCAAAAATTGATTTGTAACCCCCCCAATCAATACTCACAACACCTTCACGGTCGTGTGCGGACGTGCACAGGGCGGCGAACATTTTGTGTCGCTGTTCTGCACATCTCTGCCTTCTCTCCCAGATCTCGCGGGTTAACGTGGCCATCAAGATAAGATTCTTTAAAAATAAACCTTTAAATGTTTAATCTTTTTTTCCCAGGACTTTCTTTCTTACAAATACCTCAAAATAAGGAATCTTTAAACATAAAACAAGGTTATGTATTGATCGGCTGATGAAAATGTTTGACCAGAGGCTCGCAGGAACCTAACTCTGTATTTCCCTAGGAGCAATGGGGAAATATTGCTATATTTGCTAATTCAGTGGCGATTTTATAGAATTTTTAATAGTATTTTATTACTACTGTGAATATTGAGAATTTACTGTACTATTGTAATAGTCTTAACTCTTTCCTTTGGGATTTTTTCCCTATATCTATTGCCCAAACACACAGGATCTCAAAACAGTGTTTTTCCTCTCTGTGGAAAACAATCTTACGAAGCCGAAGTGTAGCTGGCCCCAGATCCTTAATGCTTAGATTTCTGCAAGCAAGTCATGTTTTTTTTAACAGTGAAAACTTTATTTAGCAATAGGTAGAGATATATATTCACTTCCCTCTTTTCCTTATCCTTTCTTGGCGCTGTCTTACAGGAAAGAGAAGAAGAGGCGCGTCTGGCTAACATGCCAGCGTGGAGAAGGGATATTTTTCGGAAAAAGATGGAAGAGGAAAGGTAAGGATCGTGTTCCCTCATGGCTGATTTTCAGGGGAGGCTGATAGTGCAGCCAGAGCAAAAAGCATGCAAAGCCTGGCTCGGTGACAGGCGTGCAAAGCGCTGCATTTCCAACCATTCTGCGTGTGAAGTCTTACAAAAACGTCCCGTGAAGTGGAAAACTTGAATGGTTGAGCACAAACGAAGCCGGATCATCTCTGGGTTGGTGTCCCGCGCAACCCAGAAAGTGGGTTAATTTGATGATCAAATTAAATATATTGTGCAGACCTTTTTTTTTTGGTTTGTGAAAGACCAACAAAATGGTTGCGTTCACACATTTCACACGGTCATTTTAAGATCTCGTAACTGCAACTGGTGAGTTTTAATCCAGTTTAGGGTGGTTGTGTTTTTTTTGTATAAGTGTGTGGGTTTAGTCTACAGACTGATCCACTTCACAAAAGCAGGCCTGCCTCCTCCCCTTTGCACTCAAAAAACACAAGAAAATAGACATTTTCTCCCTTTGGTGGCCTATATATATAGGGACCTCATTTGAATGTAAGGTACTGGCTGGAACTCTTGTATGGAAACCTTAGTTTTCCTTCGAGTAAACATTGCTCATCTCTGAGAGAGATTTGCTTTGGATTCATTACATCCAACCTCCGTTGCTAGTCGGGCAGTCCAACGTGTTCGCACCCCGATGCGTGTTCTGCAAAATCTGCCCTTCGGTAGCCCATTCAATTGGCAAAGCGGGGCTGGGGCACCGTGGTCCTCTAATTATTCACCAGCCCTTGACACTCCCTCATGGCCCATGGAGGAACGAGAGGCCCGGGATGGTGGATCCTGTCTTCTGAAATAGCATCGATCCTATCGGTCTGTCCCTGTGGGGTGTGAAACTGCGTAATACGCTTCTCTATTCCAGTGCTAACCAGTTGTGCTCTGTGTGTGTGTGTGTGTTTCCTGCAGGTTACAAAAACGGTGAGTCTTGACTGCGCGTCTGAATTGTTTTGATTTGCACGCCGGCTTTCTCCGCGCAAGGCGTTTGATTCTCTGGACCCATCAGGCACAGCCTTTCCACAGCCCTGGGGTGGATAGAGCTGGGATTCCCCACCCACATTCCTGATTTGCAAGATGTGGATCCTCATGAAGGGGTGCTGGGGGGTTGCCGAAAGGCCACGGTGGATTTTGGAGAACGTGGACCGTTGCAGAAGGTCAAGGAGGGGAAGAAGATAAACCAGGGGTTGGTGTGGGGTTTCTGAAGAGCAGGGAAATCAGTGCTCTTCAACGCCAAACCCAAACCAAGAATTTTGGGGTCACTCTTGGCACCTGTCACCAGCACTGCCGTCACTGGGTCTCTCAGGAACTACATAGCCCATGTGTCTTTAGGCTGACGCTTGGGCATCTCTTTCCAAATTGGGCTCTCAGATTATTTTTGGGGTGACCTTGGCTTGCAGGGGATATTGGGGTGAAATGCATCTCCCGTGGAGGTTCTCTGGGCAACTTTAAAAAAAATAAAAGAGAGACGATGCCCAGGTCAGAAGGATCGAGGTAAGCTGGAGTGGGACAAAAGGAGATCTCGCAGCTGCTAGTGGTGGTGATAGGAGTTTTATCTTCTGGATTTGCCTTCTGGTCAATAGGGAGGGTCCCAAATGCCAAGGTGATGCCCGCAGCCACACAATCCAATCATGCCCCTTTATTTCATGCAATCGTGTGGTCACGGGTACCAGTTTTTTCTTGATTCATTTAAGTATTGGCCACCCAACTCCAGTGGACTCTGGATCTTGGCTTCTTTGACCCCCCTCCCTTTGCACATAAACCACCTGCCTCCCTTTTAGGGGGAGCACCCCTGACAGGGGTCTCAGAACCCCATGGGTGCCCCCCAATTTGATAACAAATAGCACACCATTTTCCCATCCGGAGACGTCTTGGACGTGTTGCTAACC